TACGTTTTGACTATGATCGCGCAAAATTGAAGTAGTATAAATAAATCTACGATGACTGTTTATTGAATAAGGAGGCACCAGTTCCTTCAGAATTCCGCAGGGACGACCGATGCAGCTTTGACGGGATCTCCACCAACTTTCAAGTATCGATGGTCACCAATGGGATTATACCTAAGTACTCTCGGCTATTTAGAGAAATGTGTTATCATTCAGCAAAACGTAAGTTACTTATTTGTCTATAGAATTTAATCAAGAAATTCGGCGATTTAAAAGAAACTTGTTGCTACTGTTCTATATAAAATATTTTTATGTTCCCCACGGAAGTGTGTTGCCATTCGCAAAAGCGCAATACACTTAATCTTTCATAAAAAAGCGATTTCAAACCATTAACACTGTTCTTAATCTCTGCTATTCTTAATCCCTAGCTGGACTCAATATTATGTATTTTTTTCTTTTTTATAGTATCTAATTTAGGTGTCTAGTTCTTTTATAAAAGATAAGGGAAACGTGTTCCGGCGTCACAATAAGGTGTCTCTGGACCCTTGACATCTGTTTTCCCCTTTGAGCATTTTTCTTAATACACCCTGAAGTAGAGCCGAGTTAGTTACAAGTGCCAAACACGGGGAGAGATGCATGAATAAAATTCTTACGATATGTTACTCCAAGACACTTAGATTGAAATGCACTGCAACCAGGTGCCCCTGAATACAAAAAAAGCGAAAGAATTTCCCTGCACAATTTTTCCCACGAAAGTGAGTTAGTTTTTCCCCGGGCACCTGGATTTTCTAAATATCAAAGATACCTTTTCCTGTTTTTCCAAAAAATTTCATTTTCTTTCTGCAGCAGTCTAGGCAGCCGTTTTCCATCTGCAGGCAGTTCTCGTGGGATAAGATTCTTTGGGACGGAAAAAAATGACAGAAATATATTCGATTAGGATGTGCTCGACACCTACGTGGGCTCTATTTATTTCTATAATTCCAGAACGGAAAGAAACAAAGATTTTCCAGCGATATTCGTTACACCTTCATCAGGGCAATTCTCTGGATACGAAAACTGACCTTTAAGAATTTTTTTATTTGATAGAACGCTATAGAAATTCCTATAAAATTTTACAGACAATCTTCTTTAGCAAGGGTTCCCTGTGGGGCCGTATTGACCTCCTGGGGTCAATGAAATTTCAGAGGAAGTCATTGATGATCAAGGGGTCGACTGGGGGTCGATAGCCGGATATGTGCAGACAATTAATCGGTATAACCAAAATCTCATCGAGTGCAAACGAGTGTACTAATAAAATTGCTAATAAATTGTTTATTGACCTAAACCTATATTATACAAATAAGTCAAGGCTTAATCGAAACACATAGACAAACTAAGTCTGCAATTTCGAGAGAAATTTCGAGACCATTCGAGAGAAATGTGCCAAAAAAGAAACAGGCAGCGCACAGCCTCAGATCTGTCTCGTCAGCTCTCTTCAGCCACTGGTACGACAATTTCAAGGCAGACCGTGTACAGACGCTTAGGGCAGATTGTTCTATATGCTCGTAGACATGTCATATGCGTTCCACTTACCGCAACTCACTGTCGCCTGCGGTTAGCCTGGAGTAGAGAGCATGCATTGTGGACACCGCAACAGTGGGCTTGTGTGATGTTATCCGACAAGTCCAGGTTTAGCTTGCAGTCTGATTCTCGCCGGACGTTCATATGGAGAGCTCCAGGTACCCGTTACCACCAAGAAAATATTATTGAACGACACCGTTACGGTGGTGCAGAAGTGCTCGTTTGGGGTGGAATTAATCTGGGTTCCAGAACTGACCTGCATGTTTAAATTGGAACCATGACAAGCCAAATCTATCGGGACGTCATTCTGGAACAACACGTACGTTTGTTTCGGGGAGCCATGGGCGCACAATTTGTGTTTATGTATAACAACCCCGTCCTCACCGTGCAAACATCGTAAGCGAATGCCTTCAATCGGAGGATATCACCCGTATGGACTGGGCAGCATTCTAACCGGACTTGAATCCAGTAGAGCACGTGTGCGACATGCTTGGCCGACGAGTTGCAGCCCGTCAACCTCCTCCTACATGTCTACCAGAACTTTGGAGAGCATTGCATTTTGAATGGTGTAATATTCCCGAAGATCAGATCGATAATTTGATACTCAGCATGCCTAGGCGTTGTACGGACTGTATTGCATCGTCTGACATACAATGTACTAACAAATCATACCAACCATGTAATATTGGTTTTTTTGTAAATAGTTTTTTTTTGTAATTTCCTCCAGGGAGAAAAAATCGCTAATTTTTTTAATAATATCAAACATATATCATCTTTTTTTGCTCTTTACCTTTTGTTTAACAAATAAGCTTTACAAATAAGTCAAATTTGTTTTGCTTCTAACTCTTCCTTTGCCTGATTTTGCACTATGGACATGAGTGTATATAAAGTTAATAGAGTTTGATAAAAGAAGGGCAATGCAAACTTTGTATAAAGGGCAAAAATGAATATTGTTTGATTTTAAATGCATATTTCTTTCTTTTTAGAATACGTTGGCAACATCACATGTGTCAATAAAACTTGTAGTAAAGGCTATTGTATTATAAAGGAAGATCAGGAAGTATGCATTTGCCCTCCAGGGCACACAGAAAAGGATGGCAAATGTGTAGGTAAGTTATCAAAATCAATTATTATGATATTTTTATGATTTATGTAGCATATGTTTGCCCCTACACATAATCTAGAACTTGCTTTTGGCAGGGTGGTAATAATCAGCCGTAGTATTTTAAATATTTCTAGACAGCAATGAATTGGCATGCAATCACAGAATTCAACAATGGCATAAAGAAAACGACAAATATTAGCTTTGACAACAAAAATAACTAAATAATAATAAGTCATTAATATGTGAATACTAAGTCTTTAATATGAAATAATAAGTCATTAATATGTGTTGGTAGTATTGAATTTATGAAAAATTTTGCATCTAATAGCAAACAAGCACGCGTAGGGGTGTTCAGAACATTCTGTTCAGAGCAGAGTATAGCGTTTTCTACAGCTGATCGAAGCGAAATATTCTGAGAATACCGTTTTATCTCATGTTTAAGTTAATCGTTATATCTCATGATAAATTTATAATTTTTCTTGGTCTTTGAGGATGACCCTAAACCAAAAGTCATACAGACTCTCAGCCTTACATCAAAGTAATAAAAAATACTTTTAAAGGAACCTTTCATGTTATCCATAAATCACATCCTTAGTCACATTATCCATAAAGTTATATTACAAATGAAGAGTGGGCCAGGGACAAGAAGCACCAGAGCCAGCTTATAAACGAAACCATGCACAGTTAATTCCCATTCGAATTTAAAATTTAGAATGTTATTTTCGCTTTATAAGTTGTTGAAAGTGTTACATAGTATATATTCATATACGAAACTATTTTATTAAATTCTAAAGCTCATGTGTTCATTTTAACTTCCTGCATTCAATTTGAATACATCCTTAGGAATTAGAAGGATAATTATCATATACTAAACAATAAATTTTATCAATGATATGAAACATTTCATTACTAAAACATATTTATGAATTTAAGAAAATAAGTATCAATTCAGTTAAAATATTCGTTAAAAATTTACGGTACTTTTTTCATTAGCAACTCCTCCTTAGAAAGATTCCAGAAATTTAGTGTAAATAATAATAAAAATTAGTGTAATAATTATGTTCTCTGGCAACCATTTTTCTATACTTCAAATTTTTTAAAATTTATTTTGCGACCTTTTCACCAGCTACTTTTAACTGTAATTAATGATGTTTTACTGTTTCGCATTAATGTTTCCTGCAGTACTGTTGCTTATGTACCAAAAGTACTTCTACTGAAGTATGAAAAGTGTTGCCAAAGTGCCAAATGTACTTTTGCTGAAAAATCAAAAGTGTTACTTAATACCAACGCACTTTTCTAAAAACGTATTTTTCAGAAAGAACTCTTAAACGTAATTTTTCAAAAAAACTTTATTAAACTATTAAAAGAATTACATTTTGGGGAATTTTTATTTTTCAGATCTGTGCACAGCCGATATGCTGCCCGAAGGTTTTTGCCCTTATGACCGCTGCGAGTCTGTTGACAAAGGATTTAGGTGCAAGTGTGAAGGGAAATATGTTCTCTCTGAAGACAAAGTAACATGTACAGGTTAGTTAAACTGAAATTAAGCTATCATTTGCAACGTCAGCGTCATTACTAAAACCTACAGCAGATTGTTCACTAATATTTTATCTTAATCATGTAACTGCCTTTAATAAACACAACAGCTATATAATTTAGGATAATCATTCCTTATTTCTTTTAATAAGAGAATATGAGAAATTTCTCATCATCCCAATACTACGAGATTGCCAAAATGTTCTCTTTAAACCACAAATTCGCTCGCTATTTATTTTTAACTTAATTTGGATTACGATGAAAGCTGAGAGAAGTTCGGCTTGGTTTCTTTGATTATGAAAAAGCACCCGAAAATTATTTTCCTAAGAAAAGGGATGCCTTCGGGGAGGATTTTCTGAGGAAATTGCTTCGCATACATTAGCGTGGTCCAACCCACGGCTCGCGGACCGCATAGGCCCTCTTATTAATGTTTTTGGCATTTTACTGGGAAAATGTGTTAGTTAAACGTTTGGGAAAACAAAAGACCTCTCTTTAAATAATTAATAAAAATAATTATATTAAATATAATAATTAAATAATAAAAATTATAAGGCTCAGACAATGAAAACTGTTGTAAATATTGTAAATTTAATAAGGAGAGGCAAAGCCCGGAGACAAAGATCATTTATTGCATTTGTGGACAATTTGGATACTGAGTATGGCGACATTTTATTGTACTGTCAAGTGCGCCGCCTAAGTGTTGGAAATTGTCTGCAACAGTTTTTTGCGTTGAGAAATAAAATTCTTGCTTTCCTCATATAAGGAAACATTAGGCATGAGTATAAAAAAAAATTGGATGAAATCCAGTTTTTAAATAAGCTTGCTTTTCTGACAGATTTAACAACCTATCTGAATGCTTTAAATTTGAAACTTCAAGGCAGAAAGCAAAATATATCCCAGCTTTATGACATATTGAAGGCTTTCGAAAAAAAAAAAAACCCTTAATGTAATGCAAATTGTACTGAAGGCAAATAATAAGACACACTTCCCATTTTGTCAGCAGCTGGAAGAAGAAAATGACACAAATTTAGAATAATTACTGATATCAAGAAAGAGTTCCAGGACAGATTCCAGGATTCTGATTCCCTAAAAACAAAACTTTCATTGTTAAACAACCCCATGAAGAATGAAGACTTTCGACCTTCAAATGGAAATTTGTGATCTTCAGGCAGATCCATTCTACCAGACTAAAAAGTGGGATGTCACTGAACATTTCTGGAAACTGATTTATAAAGAACATTTTTCAAAACTGTATAAATTCTCTTTCAAAATGTTATCGCTGTCTGGCAGTACATATGTGCGTGAAAATGCTTTTTCTACCCTCGAACAAATTAAAGCAAAAAAAGGGAAATCACATTGAAAGTGCTTCACTGGAATCCAGCCTGAGACTTTGCCTTACTGAAGTTACAGTGGACATTGATAAACTTGTATCAAACAGCAGTGCTAATTATCACATTGATTTCTAAACTGTAAAATAAAGTGATATATTACACTAGTGATTTATATGTAATCTATTTTCCTTTTTTAATCTCTCTGGTCCTCACTCTCCTATACTAACGTTTGATTGTCCTTCGGGTAACTAAAGGTTGAACCACACTGGTATACACATTAAGTGGTTATCACTTCCAGCAATAGTCCCTGCTAGAAGGGACTATTCTGAGAAACGAGATTCTGGTAGCATTGGTTTAAAAGGGAGGATTCCTAGAAAAAAGAGCCCCCTGGAAGCGAAAACCCGCGTAGCTACGGAAACGATGTTGCGGCTACGAGGGATTTTTTTCAAACCTCACCGAAAATGTTTCGGCTGGACCTCTGTCCCGGGTAGAGAACAACCATTCAGACCGAAAGTTCTGCTTCTGACGGATCACTTGATCCCAATCTGAGAGATATTCAATTACTGTTTGGCTTTCAAGTTTTTGTAGAAGGTGAAAATGGTAACCTAGCTACGTGGGTTCCTAGAAATGTGCGGGTTCTGAGAATCGTCCCTTTCGACGTCCAATCCCACGTAGCCGAAGCATAATGTGACTAGAACAAAACACACTGGGAAAACCAGGAAAACGCCCATGTATCCAGTCCATTTGCTGGTTTCGAACCTCGGATCAAACTACTAGTGTTCAGGACTTTATCGCTTGGCTACTGATGCTCGGAAAGCTGATATAAGAAACAGAAAAGGACTAACTAAAGATTTTTATTATTATTACTTTCCAATGGCGCGCTCTAACCGTTTATAGGCGTTTGCTACTACTAAGGCCGGAAGCGGTGATCTCCTTATTATGGAGGCACCTTATAGGTGGGCCACCTTTGTCTCCTGTGAAGGGACGGTACACTAGGAGGAAGAGGCACCCAGACCGAGAAGCTCAAGGCTGTTATACTAAGTTAAACACCCCAACCCCTAGAGGCCTTACGAGGTGGACTACTCCCCCGGTCAACCCAGGGGGACAATTTCATTTCACACAATCTGGGTTAGTCAAAGGCGGATGACTGCGCATCTCCCGCAAAGATAACATAGTCATGGTAAAATCAACGACCTTTCCCAAATTTTGACCAAGGAAAGCCAAACTCCCAAAGACAACCTTCGCTATCTAACCATGTAGCGTCCCCACATCCAAGGAGCAGACAAGACAGTACTATATGGTCCCTGCCAAGCCTGAACGCCAAGCCACATAATAAACGGTGATTCTAGTCACTGTGAAAACTGTTAATGTTTCCCCAGAAGTCGAGTCTGTCTAGGTTTTGACCTATGCAAAATGCCGCGATTGTTCCCAGTTGACCCCCCCCCCCGGGGGGACTTTTGAAGGGAAGGAAAAATTACATCTATGCCTTCTCCGGGTTCGAATCTCGGGCCCTTTGGTACGGCAGTGAGAGTTCCACTATACCCGCTGCGCGGCTGCTAAAATTGTATGCTACTTAAAATAAACCTTGTATATGTATGGGTGTTTGTGACTCTAGTAATGCAATTCTGCCTTTATATGCATATAATATAGCATAGAAATTTTCGTGCAATTGCTACTTTGTATCCATTTCATCCATTTAATGAAATTTAACTTTAACATCTTAACATTCGTACTAAATATAGTACATCAATAACTGCTATCCATGTACATATGGCCAGCAACGGGTATTTCCAGTTGAAATTGTGAGGGTGTTCAGAAGAAACATTACATTTTAAATTGCGTTCTGTGGTAAAGGCAGATGTATCTGTTCTCAACCATGATTCTTCGTGAATCTTTGCGATATCACAGAAAACAATAAGATCTATAATATCCTGAAATAGTCAAAACAGTTTTTTTAAATGTAATAATAAAACGACTCACATTTAAAATTAAATTTCAAATTCGTTTGTCATTTAAGTTATGAAATTAAAGTAAAGAACTTGCTTCGAAGTAAAGAAAGCACTAACAATCGATATTCTAAAGTAAAAATCCTCGTACTAGATTTCTGGAAAGATTCAGGTAAATAGTATTTTGCTTATCTGATGATGCATAAAATAATTTATTCCCCTCTTTTTTGATAAGCCAGGAATTTTATAGAAGCTAGGCATCATTTTTTGTAAATTGCAATTCTGTTTTTCTTAAAAGCCATATGAGAATGGGGAGCGAGGAGAGTGGCTAGGGATATGTCAGTTCTGGGTTTGCTTTGGTTTAATTGATAATGGCAAAGTACATCATGGTTATCTGTCTAAGTGGAGGAATACCTTCGTGGAGGACTTTCTAAGGGAAACTGGCTCGGATGACTATTTCATATAAGTAAAATCACGGAAACACCCATGCAGTCAGCCCGTTAGCCAGGAAACGAACTAGCAATGTTCAGCGAATTTTACCGCTTGGCGCAGGTGGAAATGTCAGTTCTAGAAGATTTAGTCATCTGAGAAAGCGTCACAGGTGAACAGAGCACACTGGATACAAAACATAGAAATAACGATTCTTAGGCAGCTAATATAGCCTTTGTAACAGTTAGACTATTGCGTAATGTTAGTCCGTGTTCTAGGGTTAATTCAATAAAATCAGAAGTTAAGAAGTATTATAATTTTTTTTTAAAATCAATTCCTACTTAGGTCAGCAAAAAGAAATTAAGTATACAAAAAAAAAAAAAAAAAAAAAAAAAAAAAAAAAAAAAAAAAAAATTAAATTAAAAATGAAAAAAAAGTAAATATATACAAAAATATTAAAAATAAAAAAAAAAAAACTATATTCAGATCAAATGTCATCCACTACAAGTTTAAAAAAAATTATTTGAACTCGAGTAAATAAAAAAAAAGTATTGAAAATTACTTAATTAAATAAAAAAATTTTTTTTTTAAAGTCAATGTCTGCTTAGCTCAGCAAAGAAAATGTTAATAATACAAAAATAAAATAAAATAAAATAAAATAAAAATTAAAAAAATTTAATATGTGAAAAAACTGTATGAACATTAAGTGTCATGCACTACAAGTTTAAAAATGTATTTGAACTTGAGTGGATGAATAAAAAGTATTTCGTCAAAAAAATTTGAAAAAATTTGAATCGAAAATTTGAACAAGATATAGGGAGAGTGTGAGCTAATAGGAATTTAAACAAATTCGACACAACTGAGTGCTCCGTTAGTGCAAAATGAGCAAGAGGGTAAAGTGAAGAAAATGTTCAGTATGTTAAGGAATAAGCTAGTACGGAACGGTAAGATATTAATTGTACTACATTCTGAGGCAAATGTGACCATAACAATAGCTAAAAATTTTCAGGAAATTTGCTGCTGGTCCAAGTGACATGTCATGGCCTTGTTACGGAGTTATCATCACATTTTTATAGTTAGGAGATCTTAAAAATTACGTTTACAAAATAAACCAGCAAAAATATCCTAGTAATACAATCACCATATTCATGGCGAAATAGCTGCTATTTCAATGGCAGTGTTTGAGCATGTTTTCAAAACCTGTTTGCTGAGTTGCAAGAGTGCCAAAGACATAATAGTGGGCATCTTGACGAAATAATTTTAAAATATGAATTCCCGCATATGT